TAGAAAACTAGGGCTTTGCCCCAGTCCTAGCAGAACCCTACCCTGAGGCCCTTCCTTAGCTTACAAGCCAGATACCCAGGCTCTGACTAGAGAGCGGCAAAGACACCTATCATAAGGTAACATGGCAGTATGAGTCCATGGGTAGAAAGCAAGGGCCATGATTGAACCTTGTGCCCCTTGACAGGAATCCCCTGACAGAGCAATTAGTTCAATAGATGGGATTCTCTATGGGATGCTTCTTTAGCAGTAGGGCAAGAAGAACACTTGGAATTCTGGGACAGGTCCTGTAACAGCAAGGACAGAGATTACAGGAGGCAGGTAGAGATGTGTGGAGGCTTTGAGGTTTGTCCCTGTTGTCGCCAGTTGTGAAGGAAGGAGGAGAGGGCACCAGCACAGCAGTGACAGGAAGAGGGAGGCTAATGACTCTCTTGTAGCACAGTGAGACTGCCAGAGGAGTAGGGGACCAGACAGTGAAGCCTAAGGCTGCTGGGGGTGGCAGATATCCCACCTACCCCATGAAAGTTGGAATAAGTGAATCAAGGGCACTGTCCTGGAGATCAGGTGAAGCCATTTGTTGATAGGCCTCAGAAAGGGAGGGTACAAGGACCGACTGAGGGCACCAATCAGGCAACCAGCAAAGCCACTTGTTTGCAGGTCTCAGGCTGCTTGAGTCAATTCCCCTTTTAGGAGAGATAAAGTGACTTGTTAATGCCAGCTCAAGTAAGTAAACTGGTGGATGTGAGAGAAGGGAACATAAAGGGAGCAAAAGCATTTGTAACCTCAGGCACTCTAGAGGTGGCACAGAATCCCGGAGAGGCAGTCCACTGATAAAACTTCATCCAACTGGGCTAGCATAGACTCAGCCCCATGTTGAGGGCCAATCAGCCCAGAGAGACCAGAGGTTGCATGGTAGAGTCCCCATTCCTCTATTGCAGGGAGCCAACATTAGTATGGCACCCACCCCAGACAAGGAAGGAATGTGAGATAGGTTTAGGAGAGAACAGAGTCATGGGTAAGGCCTGCCCATGCCTCTGTTGCTCTTTGTGCTGTTGTCACAAAAAAGTCCCAGTCCCCAGGGATACCAGCAACCCAGCATGTAGTGCCAGCAGCCAATTCATCTCCAGGTTCCTTACTTGTCCCACATGGTCACCACTTCCTGATTCTCTGGAAATGAAAGAAAGAACTAAAATCACTATAATAGGGAGTTGATACATTGATAAAGAGAAGGTTATGAGTATCTACTTTCCCTTGCTGAAGCAGTCATCTGGCCCAGATGAACTATATCCATGAGTACTGAAAGAACTGGCAGATATGATTGCTAAGCCACTGTCAGTAATATCTGAAAAATTACAGAAAAACAAAAGATGTCACAGGCCTGGAGAATGGCAAATATTTCAGTTTTCAAGATAGGGAAGAAAACAGTCTATAAAGTATAGGCCAGGGAGATTGACTTAAGATTATTGGGGAAACTCTTGCTCATTAAAGAGATAGTAAACATCTAGGAAAAGAAAAGGTGGTTATAAAGAGCCAGCATGGCTTCATCAAGGACAGGTCACATCAGATGTTTATTAGGTTTATTTTTACAGGGCTACTAAAGATTTCAGCAAATCTTTTGACAAATCATTTCACAGTATTCTTGTGGAGAAGATGGAGAAATGATCACTAGATAATAATACAGACTGATTCAAAACAGGTTGGATGGCCAGACTAGAGTCCTTAAATTCCCATGATTACTATTCATTGCAAAAGTTCATTTGCTTAAAACATTGTACCAGTGTATTTCTCATTCCCAACATAACTGCTGCTCTACTTCTAACTAGTTCTTTTTCTTTTTAAAAATTAAAGATATGCACTTAACCCCAATTACCTAAAAAAAAAATTAAAGATATGCTTCTATGTTGTGCTACTTTTTTCCTATTAATATTTTTCTAATGCAGTATCTAGCAATATTTTCCCTTCGATGATCAATAAGTCATTTTTAAAAGTATGTGGGTATATAAATACATATGTATATATTTGTATACATATACATACGTGGTAAATACTTTTCACCTTAAGGGAAAAGAAATCAGGGAATTAGATTTTTCTTTTCATTCTGTCTTTAAACCAAGCCAAAAAAAAAAAAATCTCGTTTGAAATTCTTGAATGCTCTTCTAAAGTGGAGAATAAGTCAAATAATTCTATTCAGGGACATTAAGTTCTTACTACGTTCAAGGCATTCAGCATGTTTTTTTCATGTTGTAAATTCTCTGTCATAAGAATGTTAAACTATATAGCCAGGAATTTTCAGAAGTATGCACACTGTATTCTCTTCTTCCCAAACAGCTAAGGCTATCCTTGAGACAAATAAAAGACTATATACTTTATATTTGTTCTTTTACATTTGAAAAGAACATTGCTGATAGGATTATTCTACGCCAAACTTCTCACCACCAGTAGGAGTTAAATATGAGTCGTTTATGGTGATTGCTTGCACAGACTCATTCACACTCATTGGTTTACTCTATGGTTTGCTAAGCAAGAAAAGTAGTGGAAGTTAACATGTAATCTGTATTTTGCTGACAGATTGTTTTTGTGTGCCTTTTATAATAGCCAAGGCCTTGTTAGACCCAAAATGAATAGAAAAGGTTCTATTTCTAACAATCATTTAACTCTATCATTGTAAATAACAATATTACTGTTTGCTACCAAATCATATTTGTAAAATATCTTAAGGTCATTAACCAAAGGCTAAATAAACTGTAAATCTTAAAAAAAAAAAAAAGATTTAATATCAATGTGACAGGAAGTCCAAATAAAATATCTAAAGGTTTTGTGCTTGGCCCTGTGCTGCTTTAACAATTTTATCAGCTAATTAAAGGCATGGATGTCATGCTTATCAAATTTAGAAATGACACAAAGCTGGAAGGATAGCTAAACATACTGGATAACAGTTAGGATCCAAAAAGATCTAGAACACTGGGCTAACTCTAGTAAAATGAAATTCAGTAGGGATAAATGTAAAGTCACACGGGTACAAAAAATATACTTCACAAGTACTAGATCAGGGAGGAAGATCAGACAGCAGTTTTGGAAACAAAAAAATCTGGGAGTTTTAGTGAACTATATGCTCAATATGAGTCAGCAGTGAGATCTGGCAGCCAAAATAGCTAATGCTATGTTGAGCTACATTCAGAGAAATATAGTTTGCAAGAATAGAGATGTGATAATCCTACTGAACTCAGTGAACGAAAAAGTATTTATTAAATAACCCAGTATGTTCCAAGTACTGTGTTAATCTTTGGAGATAGAAATACAAAGTGCACGAACGTTCCTGCCCTCAAAGAGCTTGTATTCTAGAATGAGAGAAGACTCCATATACAGGGAGAAGAGAGGAGGGAGGGAGTTTTGGTCTGAGAAGTCACAGAAATTGTGAGTGGAGCCAAAGAACAATTGTTTTTTCAATAATAGTAGTATTGATTAATTACTGAACCTGGATCTACAGGTTCAAAGGGGGAGGGAGGAGAAACAAACACAAGGGAGGCATGGCATAAATCATGACAGCAAAAAAACAACACAGAAAAATTTAACCAGTCAGGAGCCCAAGACTCTGGAGCAGGAGATGCAGCCCTGAGTCAATGAATCAGTGGCCAAGATAAGGGTCAGGTCTCATTTGATGTATTATAATCAGGAACAAAACCATTTGGAGAGTCAGTGGGCCTGAGTCCGCAGGTGGAGAAAAAGAGAAACATTTGACTATGCTAAGGAATGAAAACATCTTCTGACATACAGCGAGCCATCACCCTTTCTTTTCTCTCTAATCAATGGCTATCAACCAAGTTCAAGTCTCTATCTTACTTCACCTGGACTACTGCAATAATCTCTTGATTTGTTCCTTGGCCCCCACTCTCAATCCATCATCCACACTGCTGCCAAATTAATATTCCTAAAGCACAAGTCTGATCACATCACTTTCCTGAAAGACCCTTGTTACCTTAATGATTTAAAACAAACAAAAAAAAAAAAACCACCACCAAACTCCTCTGGCACTTAAAACACTCCAGATGATTCCAAACAACGTTTCAAGTCTTCCACATTGCTTTCCCTTGTACTCTGTCTTCTAATGAAACTGGCCTTCTTGTTGTTCCCTATACAAGCTCACCTGCCCCCTCTGCACATTTTCACAAGCTGCTCCACCGGCCTTGGGCTGCTTTTCCTCCTCATCCTCCCCTGGAAAGCCTGACTTTTCTGACCTCTCCCCATCCTCCAGCCGTTTGCCACAATGCTAATTACTTTGTACATAGTACATATTTGTAAAAATTGTAACACCTTGCAGTAGAATATAAACTTCCGAAAGGCTGAGACTGTTTTGTTTTTATTTATATGCTCAGGACAGTTGTCTACAACATAATAGGCACTTAATAAACTAACTGACTTGAATAAAAGATAGCTCTTTTATTTGTTATGTTACAAACATTCTACATATCCATTCAGTTGCAAAGTCTTGTCAAAGCTACTGTTAACATCATAACATTGGCCATCTGTCCCCTTCTCCACTCCCTCTATCATGACCTCAGCTAGATTCTCATATCTCCTAACTGATCTAAACTAAATTTCTTTGCATATGTCCTACATTTACCTATTTTTAAATGCTTTTATGTATCTTTTGCTTCATATCATCTACTTTTTTCCTTTATATTTTTCTCCCAGAAAGTCATCACTTAAAAAGATTGTGTAAAACTAAAAGGTTTTTGTAATAATTAAACTAAGGCCCCTAGGATAAGAAGAGAATCTGATGACTGGGGCAAGGGGAGCCTACATAAAATACCTCTGATAGAGCTCTGCTATTCAAGATACATAAAAAACTAAAAAATAACAGATCAAAAGCGATTCCCCAATAAATAATCAAAGGATACAAATAAAATGTTCTCAGAATAAAAATTATAAACCATATGAACAACCATATGAAATGCTCCAAATCACTAATAACAGAAATGCTAATCAAAACAACTGAGGTTGGTTTTAACTCACAGGAAACAAATTGTCAAAGATAACAAAAGATGGGAATAATTGCTTTTGTACTGGTTGTGGAAAGAATGGTACAAGGATGCCATATGGGTGGAGCGTGAATTGGTCCAGTAATTCTGGAAAGCAATTTGGAATTATTAAATAAAGTGACTAAATTGTCCTGAGTTTTCCCAGGCTTCATCAAATGCCCTGTTATGGCTATCCACTCCAATCATTAAAATCAGGACATGAGTACCTTTCAAAGTACCTTTCAAAATACCACGTTCTAAAAATACCTGGGTTTGTTCTGGATTATTTCATAAAAATCAAATCTTGATCCCCTCAGCAAACTTGGTGAGACCATCAAGTACCAAAATAAGCTTATTTATCTTTAATAAACAAAATTTTGAAAAAATTATAAATTCCAAACTGCATAGGCTCAATAAGCAAACACTCAGCACCTAAGGAAGTACCCCGGCCCAAGCATGAGAATCTTGACTACGGATTTGAAGAAAACCCTTTAGATATAATTTATGAAATGAACACAATGTCAAATCCTTGTGCTAAGCAGTTGACAGTGTATTGCTTCAAGAACAGAGATAAATAAATCAAGTACAAAGAAACTAAAAGAATTTCCTTGGCAGAAAGAAACTTGAAATGTAATCTGCTGATGCTTGTTTATAGCACAAAACAGGTAAGTCATTCAAAACAAAGCCAAAAAAAACAGGTTAAAAACAATAAAAATTATAATGTATCAATAGCAAAGTGCTCTGTAAGTAAATATGATTGAAACTAAAATTCAGAAAGTCAGCTCTTTGTTTGCGGTAGGTTTGGTTTAGTTTTGAGAGAAGCGGTGAATTTTAGTAGGCACAGAATGACTACACACATGTTCCATGACTGGGGCTGTGAGCCAGCTTCCAGGTTTACAGAGCAGCTAGTTACTTTAAGGTTTTATATATGAATTTAGCTAGGAGTCAGGCTTCTCCAAGGCTGAGCAAGAATAAGATTAGGGAACTACAGATCTCTTTAAAGGTTGAAAGTAATCTCTTGAAGTGTTAGTTTCCTGCAGAAGAGAAAGAGACAGACATTTTATTTTCCACATTCTCATCTTCCTTTCCCCCCATCAATAGCAGCTCTATTTTCTCTTGCAAGGACATGCTGGATTGTGTCTGTTTTGGCGTATCAGTTTGTTCCTTCCGAGTTATTTTGACATCTTTTGACCCCTGTCGACCAAAGCAACTAGATGTCTTTGTGGTAGAGTCACCTGTTTCTGCATCTTCTGTGGAAGATGAATGTTGATATTTTGTTCTCATTTGTTTGCTGTCATATTTTGTTTCTTGTTTCTGCAAACATGTATCTTCCCGAGCCTGCTGAGGTTTGAGACAACCTAAATCCAAAGCTTTAGGAAGCATGGCTCTTTCAAAAGGCAAAGAATCTCTAGTGCTTTTTTGTTTCCCTTCTTCCACTGACTTTTCTTTGGGATATATTAGCTGTGGTCTAACTAGGAGACCCTCTGCATTTGTCTCATAATCTTTCATGGCTCGTTCTCTTCGAAGTCTCTGGAAATCCATCAGCTGACGCAACTCCTCTGGCAGCTCCATACATGATGCCTAAGGAAAGAGAAAGAAACATTCCTGCTTTTTCAAAACTTTTTAATACTGTATTTGAAATCATCTTATACTTACTTGCAAGCAATTGCCTATACCTTAAATTATGTTAATACAGTGCCCTCTAGTGACATCAACTAGTATTGAGGATGGAAATTAATAAGTTCATTCACAATTTTTTAAGACAAGACCTGGTATGAATGTGTATATGGTGGCAAATAATTCCAGAATGTGGCCCCAATGAGAACATTTTTCCCCATGCAATGCCATCAATATAAAGTTTGCTATAGCAACTGGGAAACAGCTCAATGTAATGATAAAAATACATGGAGTCAGAAAACCTAAGTTCAAGTCCAGGTGCCAACACTTACTGTGTGATGATGGACAAGTCTCTTATTCTCTCTCTCTTAGTTTCCTCAACTGCATATAAGAATAATACTTGCATGACCTGCCTCACAAGATTATTGTAAGGAAAGCACTCTATAAATCAAAGTTCCCTATAAATGTTGATTTAGTAAACATTTTAAGTAGAATAGTCCCACTGTTTTCCCTAAAAAATTAAGAATATTGGGGCAGCTAGATGGCACAGTGGATAGAGCTCTGGCCTTGGACTCAGGAGGACTCGAGTTCAAATCTGACCTCAGACACTTGACACTCACTAGCTTTGTGACCCTGGGCAAGTCACTTAACCCTGATTGCCTCACCAAAAATAAAAAATAAAATAAAATAAAAATTAAGAATACCGAGGTCTTTTTGTCATCTACCTACAAGCAAAATTGTGCCTACCTCTGTGCCTCCCAACAGATCTCCAGACCCTTCCCGATAGGTATTTAAGTACGCATCCACCATCGTAGTCAAGTCAGACATCATCTCATCCAGAAGCAACAAGCGCAGGGGCAGCAAATATGTCGTCTCCAGGGCTAGCACTCTCAGCAAGGAAGGTGGGAGAGGTCGCATAAACCATATTTCAGGATTCTCCTATAGCCATCAAAATAATGTCTTCTGAATTATAAGCAAATATTTAAAGCTAATATCTACTTTTATCCATGTTTCCTTTACTCACTCAAGGAGTAGCAGCTTCCTGAATTATTACCCTGTGCTTAGTTGATAATTTTGTCAACTATTTCTTAATGTTTCCTTATAAGGAAGTATATCTCATGCTCTGCCTCCTCAAATTTCAAAAGATCAGAGAAGGCTAACTTCTAATCAGATGGAGACTTCTTCACTCAGAGCTAGGCCTAGTAAAGATAAATGAACAAGTCTTATGATTCTTGTGGCCATGACCTAAAATTTTGGGATCATCATCAGATCTCCTCAGTAGCTGAAGAAATTATCCTTTCTTTGTGAGAAGCAGCTGGGAAAAATTTTGACTCCTATTCCTTCAATTAAGAATCTTGACCCTCTACCCCCAAACTTGAAAACTGAATGCTTTCAGAGAACAACTCTTTGGAAATTCAATAAGACTAGTCTTGGCAAGGTTACAAAGATTTTCCAAAACAGGAAAATTCAGAATTTGGTACTACCCATTCTTTTAGATTGCATTTAGCTCTTCCCTTACATAAGCTGATCACCTGATTCAACAAACACTAGAAAAAGCAATACCATGCAGAATATTCTTTGAAAGTCTCTACCAATCACCTGAACCATCTTTTGCTTGTCATCCAGGAAGGAGACACATTTGGAGGACATTTTAAGGTGTCGAATTAAGCTCTCCTGCAAGGTACTGATGCAGTGTGGAAGAAAGCCACCTGTTTCCATAGAAAACTGAAGGACATCAGCCACCTGTTATATTAAAAAATAAAAATAAAAAATCACCCAAAAATATTTGTGCAGTGTGAAAACACTATAAAGTAGAATTACAAAAACACAGTAATGTAGTTAATATCTGTGTGACCTGGTACAAATCACTTACCTTCTTTAAGCCTCAGTTTTATTATCTATAAAATAAGAGGGTCTGACTAGGTGGATTCTATAAGGTCTCTTCTGACTCTAAATCTATGATGCTAGTACTATTCCATCATGGCACAAATGGTCTGTACCCTGTGCTCATGCTATACAATCAACTGCTGATCTCTCCAAAAACTAATTATCTAGTTCATGAACTATCCCTGCCTAATACTTTTGTTTTTGTCAAGGGCCACGAGTACTTTCATTAGAGACACAATAAAGAAGTAAAATTCAAGAACCAAATACGCTGTTTGTTCATTCAGGTGAAGATTTGATAGAGAAGGTAGTTGTAATTAATGTTAAAAATAAATTTATCTACAAACTCCATTAGCACAGATAATAACAACAAAATAGACATATAATAAATGGATCATATAAATCTGTCTTGAACTCCTGCTTCCTAGTCTATGGATATCTGAGAGAAGTCTGAAAAGGTCACAGCAAGGCCTTCTTTATAAGATATACACAGGCAAAAAGTAAGGAAAAAAGAAGACCTAGGGATAACCCCAGGAGAACAACTCCTTAACTACAGAGTGGTACTTTTGTTGAGCTGAGGGGTAAGCACAGAGGAAATCTCTTATTTAGTGAAATAGCCTGAAAGTCAGAAAGGTCCTGAAAAAAAAATCCTAACAGAGAAAAATAACACGAAGGTTCCTGTGTGAAAAACCACAACAAACATAAACCAATCTATGGTTTCAATGAACAGAGACTTGATTTTTCTGCAGTTACTGCCCAACAAAACTTATACAGCTTTTTAGTTTATTATATTTGTTGATGAGTTGAGATTAATTTTATCTCCTGTCCTAAAAAGGCTTCAAACTAGAACCCCACTATTGGCCCAAACCTGGCGGCCTAAGAGAAGCTTTAAAAAGCCTACTGCAAATCACTGTGAAATTAGCTGCTTGAATTTATTTGCTCCCAAGGCCATAACCAGGAATTTAAGTTTCCTTTTAGTTCTGGACGACAGGGTTTCTCTAAGACTATCCTAATTTCTTTTTTAAGGCAATTGGGGTTAAGTGACTTGCCCAGGGTCACATAGCTAGTGTCAAGTCTGAGGCCAGATTTGAACTCAGGTCCTCCTGACTTCAGGGCCAGTGCTCTATCCACTGTGCCACCTAGCTGCCCTACTCTAAGACTATCCTAAATGCCAAAGGATTCTAAGAAAAACAGATCATTTGAGCTAGACACTCTTTCCATGCTATTATGGAGCATATTTCATTCCCTGCCTCTGCCCAGTTTTGACATGCAAACCTCATCCACAAGCATCCTGATTCTCACAAGTGAATCATTTTTCATCTCCTGGTATTGTCTTTAAGGAATGAACACTAAAAGCCATGATTTCAGATGTCTACATACAAATGCACAAAGTACAGGTGACCTGTACAAAATGACCTGAGATCCTGATATGAAGAGGCCAAGCTTACTTCACAGTTATTCCTGAGACTTGGTGAGATGAAGCCCATGACTAGGATATGGCTCTAAAGGAAGAAAAAGCATGCAAGGAGAAAGAGGAGACAGGTGTAGAATAGCAACATCTATCAAGAAATGCCCATGGGAGGAAGTCTCAGAACTGGAAGGGTAAAGCATGATATTTGGGTGAAGATTAGAGAAACACAAGTGGCATCCTCTGAACTGGAAAGGACAAAACAAAAATGACTAATGGGGTATTCAAACTCAAGATGTTCAAGGAGAAAACATTTTGCTTTTGTCAGAGCTCTTTCTCCTCAAGTCAGCAGATTCATGAAAATTCCAGCCTCGGGTGACTGCAAGAACCTGCAGATGTGATTGCTAACCCACTCTATCAATAATCTCTGAAGGACTGCTGAGAAAAGGAGAAGTGCTATAGGACAAGAGGACAAATGTTCCAATTTTCAAAGCAGTTAAGAAGGTGGAATCTATAAGGCAAAGAGTGGTAAGCTTGATTTCATTTCCCAGAAAAATCCTAGAATGTCATTAAAGGTAGTGAATATCTAAAAAGGAAAACATGGCCTAGTCAAGTCAGGTTATAATGGATTAACTTCACTTCATTATTTGACATGGGGCTACTAGACTGGTAGAAGAAGAGAATGTCATAAACAACTTTTACCTAGAAGTCAAAGTACTTGACAGTCTTTCCTAATATTCTTATGGAGAAGACAGATGAAGGCTAAATGATAGAATAATTAGGTAGATTTGGATTCCTGAGATGATGTCAAATTAGTGGAATGCCCAAGGGTTCTCTTCTAATTTCTCAGCTACTTCACATTTATCAGTGACTTCAATGAAGTAGTCAATGTCAGGCTTATCAAATCTGTGTATAATACAAAGCTGGAAAGGATAACTAACACAATGGACATCAGGATCAAAAAGTTCTTGATAGACCAGAACAATGAACCAAATCTAATAAAATGCAATTACTAAAGAAAATGCAAATTCCTACATATGAGTTCAAATATTCCAACTTTCCAAAAACAGTTTTCTTAAAAAGATGTCACCAGGGAAACAAGATGCCAAATTATCAGTGTGATCTTAGGTACACTAAGGATGGAACAGTGTCCAGAACAAGGGAGGTGATAGCCCTACCACACTGTGCCCTGCTTAGACCACAGGTGGAAGACTGTTTTCTGTTTGAGATTCCATGTTTTAAGGTAGACTGCACTGTTCTTAAGCTGAAGAGTATACATAAGAAGATAACCAGAATAGAAGGGTCTCAAGGTCACGCCATTAGGTTTGATATAAAAAAAAAAAGTGCCTACCTGTCCAAAAGCATGATGGGATGCCTCAATAGGTACAATGGAGGTCTCAAGAAAAGGGCAGATGAACACCTACGAAGGATGCTGCAGAAGGATTTAGCAGCCTTTGAATTCCCTTTCAATTCTGAGACCTTGTGATTCACTACCAGATTTCTGAATTTCTCCTCTTTATACAATGGGACTAGCCATGTAGCATAATGAGGTGTTGATTTTATTTTTTGTCATGTTTCTTTCAAGAGAACTTTAAAAACTTTAGTACATCCTATATTAAAAAGTAACTCATTTATTCTTCTGAATCAGAATCTACTGTTTTCTACGGATACAAACAACAAAATATACATATTCCAGTATACCTCTGTATGCCAGAGGAGGTATACAGGGAAACAGTGACAAGAGTAATGAGCTGAAGAATACAAAGACTCATGCTAGAGTCTTGGTTCTGACACTCACTACAAGGGTCACCTTAGGCAAGTTCCCTCTCTGAACCTCAGTCTTGTCTGTACAATAGAGATAGCACTACTGCACTCCCTGCCTCCCCAGGTTATGGGAAAATGTTCTGTATAGCATAATATAAACATCAGCTATCATAACTGCACACACCTGTGTGTCAAATACATTAGAAAGAACAATTCCATACTGATGAGAAAGGCAGTCAGAAAGCCAGCGACAATCATGAATGACCTGAAGAACGAGAAAACCAGGTGATTAGGACCGGACTGACAGCACAAACCCCACTCTCAGACCGCCCGCCTTCATTCACGTATCAGGAGAGTTACTCAGACTCACTTTCAAAATCTTCCTATCCTCCAACACCATCTGAAGTCCGTTATTGAAAGCTCGACTTCCCAGAAGGAAAATGTCAAATAAGTAAACCCGACTACTTGTTGCCACCTACAAAAAAAACCATTAAGGCACATGAACCCCAGGACTGAATTGTGAAGGAAAGGGTTCAAGGACTGAAGAACAAGAAAGATGTAACAAAAAGTTTGACATCCATGCTTTTATGCTATGGAATGTGTTTATAAAGATTTTTCTAAACAGGTTTAAAATTACTTGAGAAAGGACCCACAAATAATCTGGGCTATTTTCTTTTGCTTTTTTTTTTTTAAATAATTTATTTATTTTTAGTTTTCAATATTCACTTCCATAAGATTTTGAGTTTTAAATTTTCTCCTCCTTCCTCTCCTGCCCCCTCCCCAAGACAGCATGTAATCTGATACAGGCTCTACATATACATTCATATTAAGCATATTTTCCCATTAGTCAGGATGTAAAGAACAATTAGAACTAATGGGAGGAATCACAAGAAAGAAGAAACAAAACAAAACAACAAAAGAAAAGGAGAACAAATAGTATGCTTCCATCTGCATTCAGACTCCAAAGTTTTTTCTCTGGATGTGGACAGCATTTTCCATCATGAGTCTTTTGGAGATGTCTTAGATCCTTGCATTGCTGAGAAGAGCTAAGTCTATCAAAGTCAGTCATTGCACAATGTAGCTGTTACTGTGTTCTCCTGGTTCTGCTCATTTCACTCAGCATCAGTCCATACAAGTCTTTCCAGGTTTTTCTGAAGTCGGCCTGTTCATCATTTCTTATAGCACAGTAGTATTCCATTACATTCATATACCACAACTTGTTCAGCCATTCCCCAATTGATGGACATCTCCTCAACTTCCAATTCTTTGCCACCACAGAAAGAGCTGCTATAAATATTTTTGTACATGTGGGTCCTTTTCCCATTTGTATGATCTCTAGGTAATAACCATATACCAATGTGAACATAGTATTATGCTAGATACCCATCACCTGAAGCTTCACAATCCAAAAACTCTTATTTATCCAGATGCTTACATTTTAAATGGGCAACAAAAATTGGACAAGTGTCAATATAGCTTACTATATACTCTGAGGTAGATAAATCAAAAAGGGATAAGTTGATTTCAAAGAAATTTCAAAGTTTCAAAGAAATCTTTTCTTTACCTGAAGCCAACAGAGTTTCCCATGACGACATAAATTAACTCCTTCAGCTGCCACACTCAGGACACTCTGTTTCTTGATGTGCAGCATCTAGTAACAACCAAAAGAAAACAGTTCCTGAAAACTCTCAGGCTAATCAACAAAGGAGAGGGATATTAGTAGGACTCAAGTTTTAGCAATGAAAGAATTTTCACATAAAATAAACATCTGCACTTTGATGAACCTGTTATCTTATAAAAACTTGCCTTACCAAACCTGCATTAAGCATTACTTATTTCAGGGATGGGGAACCTGCAGCCTGGAGGCCACATGTGGCCTTAAGGCAGCAAGTTTCCCATCTGTGACTTATTTCCTTCACTGGTAAGCTCAGCAAAGAAATCCTAACCTTGGAAATTAACCACATTTACAAGTCAGAATAAAAGGAATAGAAACTGGTACAGCTCCTGCTAGCACAAATGCTATAGCTGTTTTTGCAGAGAAATTTCAAGGTTTATTAATCCCAAATTCTACAATGCTGTTAATTATAGTTGTATATTGTCTTTCTTTGTTCAGACGAACTAAAAAGTTCTACATGAAGTTAACATAACATGATTCAGTGGAGAGAGCACTGGATTCGGAGCCAGAGAACGTGCAATCTAATCCTAGCTTGTCCATTTGTTCTCTGTGAGACTTTGGACAAGTCACATACTGTCTCAGAAATGATTTCCTTGTCTATAAAACCAATAGAGGGAAGAGGAAGAAAAGAAGGCAAGATGATTTCCAAAAGTCCCTACCAACCCTAAGTCTATTATAATAATAATGACAAGGACAAAATTTAAAACATGTCTTTTTGTTGAGTGACTGAAGAGAGCAGAATTGAGAACAGAACCGAGTCTCTTCAAATCTAGTATGCTATAGAATGGACTCATCCTTCAGGTCTCAGGGGCTGGACCTCTAAGATATTTTCCAATTATAAGGTTCTATAAATTTCAGGTTCCTTTTATTAATTATTAAACCAAAATGAAGTCTTTGACCCCTAAAATTTTTCAAATTAACAACTCTTGAAACTTGAAACTCTTGAAAAAATTGGAACTAATCAATGGACAAAACTATCTAAAATATTACAAAATTTTGACCAGTAACGTTAAAATCTATATGGCATAGAAGAGATGACAAAGAGTTTTAAGTAATACTTACAGCAGAACCAAACTTCTGTTGGAACTGATTAACTACTGTGTACGTCACATCTTCTTCCTCTGAATGAGAAAGACAGCAATTACAGACAAATCTCTCTTCACCAATGGAACTGGCCCCCCAGTTTTGGCCATATTCATAAACCTTCCCCTTATGCAAATCAAATACCTAAAGAATCTTCATTATTGTCTGTCAGACCTATCTACTATCCCCACATCTTTACTTTGAACATAGGCATAGGAAAGAGAACACCAGTGACAATTTCCTCTGACGTTTCAATGCTTTCATCCTTGTAAAGAAACCTAAGAAATCCTCTGGTCTAGGCCCTGTGTTAATTTCACAATAATTCTTGCAATAACAGAAAATAATCTAGTCTTAAATAAATCTGGAAGATGGGTTATGAATAAAAAGTCCATTATCTTAGACAAATGGCTATCTCATCCATCAGTTGGCATGTTGCTGGGTTGCTTTTTAGTTGTGTCCGTAAGCCCATTTGAAGTTTTCTTGGCAGAGACACTGGAGTGATTTGCCGCTGCCTTGTCCTGCTTATTTTACAGATGAAGAACTGAGGCAGACAGGGTTGAGTGCCCTGCCCAGGGTCACACAGCTACTGGGTGTCTGAGATTACATTTCAACTCAGCAAGATGAGGTCCTAACTCCGGGTCCTGCACTCTGTACACTATGGCACCACCTAGATGCCAGTTTGTATTGTACATTTATCCTATCTTCAATACCATGTTATTTTATTACGTAGATACCCAGAGGAAATGATGCAGGTTACAATTTTTGGCCTAGAGAATAGATAAGAAAAATCTACCTCCTTCCCTTCATTGTATAGATAGGGGGATGATGGAGGAGGCCTGTTATGTATGATATCAGTGTCACTTGGTTTTGATTTTTTTTAAGTTTATTTTAAACTTAAATACAAAATAAGAAAAGGAAAAAATTGCCGTGTACACAACAGAACATAAGAGGATTCAATATAAAACAATTAATTTCCATTTCAAGAACCTATATAATAAATACTACACATTATTTTCAAAACTGTCCAGTTTTTCTTTGCTTCCTTGTCAGTTTTCTTTTGTTCTCTGCTGTGCACTTTTACTTTTTTTCCCTCCCCCCTCAGAAGGCTACAATTAAGCAAGAATATGTATCTGTGTATGTGTGTGTATGTATATACATACATATATATACATACACACACATATATATAATACATATAAAGATACCTATAAACATACACATATACACTCATACACATGTATGTAAGACCATACTGTGCTTATTTCTATTTGTCATTTGTTTCTCTGAAGATGGATATCATCTTCTTTCATATGTCCAAGTCTTTCCATGTTTTTCTAAATCAAGCGGTTCATCATTTCCTCCACTACAGAAATATTCCAACCCAATCCCATTCTATCTGAGACACTGTCTATGAAAGTTTTTTTCCCAATTTTCTGCATTCTTTCTATCCTTGGCTGCATAGGTTTTATTTATACAAAAAATTTTAACTTAAAATAATCAAAATTATCCATTTTACACTACAACAATGCTCTCACCTTATAATATGGTTTAAGGTCTATTACTACTGATCTGCTTCCTTTACATCTGTTTTACCCTGGTTTCTTTGAAGTTCCTGACCTTTTGTTCTTCTAAATGAACTTTGTTACTTGGTTTTGATTTAAAAAAAAATCTTTGTTGTACACAGTAACAACCACATTGTGCGATGACTGACTGATAGACTTAGCTCTTCTCAGCAATGCAAGGATCTAAGACAAGTCCAAGAGACTCAGAATAGAAAATACTATCCACATCCAGAGAAAAAATTTTGGAGTCTGAATGCAGAAGGAAGCGTACTATTTGCTCTCCTTTTCTTTCATTGTTTTGTTTTGTTTCTTCTTTCTCATGGTTCCTTTCATTAGTTCTAATTATTCTTTACATCATGACTAATGTGAAAATATGCTTAATATGAATGTATATGTAGTCTATATCAGATTGCATGCCGTTGTGGGGAGGGGAGAGGAAAGGGAGAAAATTTAAAACTCAGAATCTTATGGAAGTAAATGTTGAAAACTAAAAATAAATTAATTATTTTAAAAAGAAAAAAGAAAAAAATCTTTGTTAGAAGAGAAGAATCATTAGGGAGAGAGGAGGATTTTATGCTTTCATTAGGATAATCAACACTAGGTCAAATCCTGAAAAGTTTGAAGCCATAATAAACCTCATTGTGGAAAATTCATAGTACCAGATCCTGCCTTCCAGGCCCACTATCAATTAATTACCTGAGGGACTGTATTTTAGGTCATTCAGCAAGGTGATAGTATGTGACTCAAGGGAAGATGAAGCTGAATCATTCATATTCTGGTCTGCTTCTTTCACTTTGTCCATCCTTGTTTCTTCTGTATTTAGGCTATCCCTACGTTAAGACAACACTCAGAGGTATTTATTCTCTACTACCATTGACATATATAGATTTTGCCTTATATCAGTAGTATAGCACTGCAGATCCTACAAGGGTAATCTTGCCTTAGCACACCTGGCATATAGCAAATGCTTATTGACTAACCGAATCTAATAAAAAGGACCTAGTTCTTTTGGCTAACTCTCTTAAGAAAGAAAAATTATCTACAAAATGGAAAAAGCCACCCCCCACATCCCCTGTAATTTTTCTTACATCAAAACAACTTTTCAGACCAGTTCAAGAAAAATTTGGCTGATAAAGTACAGGAAAGACTTTTTATCCCGACCAAGGTTACATTAGTGAATATATTCCTGAAACATCATGATTAAAAAAATTATTCCTTCTCCATACCTGACAGAAGCTGTTTTTTCTCCTACTCCTTGTTCCACATCATCCAGCAGTTCCACTAAAAAAAAATCAGTTTCCAATAGTTCCCCGCATAGAAGTCATCATAATCCCCTCAAAAACAGACCCTGATCATGTCACCCTACACAAGAAATAAGCTTTGAGAAATATAAAGTTTTATTGATGCCTTTTGCTCTTATACCATTTCCCCTTCTGTATATATTCCTCTTCTCTTCCCAATGATCCTTCCCTTCTAACAAAGATTTTTTTTAAAAATCAAAACCAAGTGACACTGTCTGATATCATATATAAGAGGCCACCCCCATAATCCCATCTATACAATGAAGGGAAAGAGGCAAATATTCTTATCTATTCTCTAGGCCAAACTTGGTCATTATTATTATAGTGTTCAGTTTCATTTAAGAATTACACACTTATGTACACTTACTATCAAGTAGTTAACAGAAAGAACAAGCAACAATACATCAGCTCCAAATTATCCGCGTGGTCCAAGGATCATTTGCTCCCTTCGATGCTATGTTCTTTGACAGCTTTTCAGTTGTCTCAACAACAACTGGGATCACTCTTGTCGTTCTTTCCTCCTCCTGGCCCCTCCAAAGCTTTTGTGGTCACTCAAATGAGTTCTAAGGTCCTTTCCCTTTACTTGCACACCACATTTGCTAAGTCATCCTCTCTTATATTACAAACTTTTATATTACCTTATTTCAAGTTATTCATAGCAAGATTTCTCTCCAAAAAAATTAATAAAAATTTAAAAAAGATTTCTCTCCATTAATGTAGACCAGTGAATATTATTCACTATTGAAACTATTCTTTTCAGAGTTTACCAAATGAGGGGCAGCTAGGTGGCACAGTGGATAGAGCACCTGCCTTGAAGTCAGGAGGACCTGAGTTTGGCCTCAGACCAAACACTCGACACGTACTAGCTGTGTGACCTTGGGCAAGTCACTTAACCCTGATTGCCTCACTTAAAAAAAAAAAAACCAGAGTTTACCAAATGCTCTACTAATTACTAAATCCAACAGACTTTTCCCAATCTTCCTCTTCAGTAGTCATGATCAATTCCTCCTTCTGGATTCTCTCTCTTCCCTAGATTTTCAAAACCTTACTTTCTCCCTGTTCTCCTTTAATCTGTCTGACCATTTCTTCTCACTCCCAACTAATTTATCATCCTGCTCCCACCTTTTAACCACAGATGTCTCCCAGGGCTTTCTGTCTTGGAAGACTTTCTCTGCTTATATATTCTCTCCTTTTATATGATGTATTCTCTAGTAAATTACACACAGCCTTACTATCACTCCTAAACTTTAGTCCTGCATCTTCAACAGCCTATTAGCCACCACTAGCATTTCAAATTCAGCATCTCTCAAAATGAATTATTTATCTCTCCTTTCCCTCCTCTTCTAAACTTCCCCATCTCTGTACTCAGGTTCAAAATCTTGGAGTCATCCTTGACTCCCCTTCCTCCCTTATCAATACCTCACAAATAATCGGCTGCCAAATCTAATGGATTCTAGCTCTACGACATCTCTCTTCTCTCTCTTCATTTTCTCTATTAATACAACTATCACTTTACTTCAGGCCTTCATTACTTCTTGCTAAGACCATTACAAAAAGCTACTAACTAGTCCTCCTACTTTCAGTTGCTCTCTTCCCTGATATAATTGCCAAAAAAAAGTTTTTAATCCATAGGCCTGACCATGTTATTGTTCTGGTCATAAATGCTCAGTTGACCCCTCACTGTCTTTAGGATAAAATGCAAATTCCTTGGCCTAAAAATTAAGACCATCCTTACTACCATCCAATACCAAACTACTTTTCTGGACTTCATTCACTTTACCTCCATTCATATACTATTTCAGACAAACTGGATTACTTGCCATTTCTCCAAACCCAACACCAAACTCCCAGCTTTGTGTAACTACACAGGTCATAACGCATAGTAGAATGCCCTCCATATCAGTTTTTTGGGAATTATCTTCCTTTAAAGCTCATGTCCGGTGTCACCTCCTCTCACGAAGCATTCTCTAATCTACACAACGAAAGTGTTCTCTTCCTTTCAAATTTCCCTTTAACCAATTTGCTATCACTCCCAATCTGGTATCATATTTAATCTGTGTACACATATTTAATCTCCTCCAGCAGAATGTAAAATCCTTGAGGGGAGGGAAGTTCTCATTTCTGTTTTTATTACCTAGATACTGAGGCACTTAACAAACTTTTGTTGAATTGAATTTAACAAATGTACAGTGAGATTCTATGAAACAATGCTTCAAAAAAGTATAAAAAGGTAAAACTAGGAATTCCGGTGGCTTTACGGGAAATTCCAGTGGTTTTATGTTTAATGAAATTTCCTTGGGGAGTATGAAAGCATTTCACAATCTTTCTTTTAAAAATATATTATCAAGGGTATAAGAAAATAAGTCCCATTATAATAAAATAAAGCAATGCTACCCCTTTATTCCAAATATTGGAGAATCAAACTTCAGTTTACTAATAGGGTAAATATCAGTCTTACTGTTCAAGATGAAACACTCACCATTCACAATCTCATGGCCAAAAAACATCTTCACTCCTGGCACACTTCGGCCAGTCTCCAAATTCTTGACTACATTTTTTAAAAAATTAAGTTAACAAAATATTATATATTAACAAGAATAATGAAATTGCTCCAAATCTATAAAATGCCATGCTTCTTAAAAGCTTACATCTAAGTTATCTAACATAAAGCTACTATCATATTATCTCTTAGAAGAAAAGTTAAAAGTGAAAATTAAGTTACAGCTTTGAAACCTATAATACAGAAAACATAGTAATCCCATAATACACCAACAGGAACTAGACAGACTGGTAGTACTGTAAAAATTATAATACTCAGGGGCAGCTAGGTGGCGCAGTGGATAGAGCACCGGCCCTGGAGTCAGGAGGACCTGATTCAAAGGTGACCTCAGACACATAACACTTACTAGCTGTGTGACCCTGGGCAAGTCACTTAACCCCATTGCCTAGCCAAAAAAAAAAAAGAAAGAAAGAAATATTATAATACTCCCTATTTTAGACTCTTTTCTAGGTCAAAAACCCCTTAAAGGCAATCTATGCTCAATTTTGCAACATTTTTCCATTCTACACTTTGTTTTTTTAGGCAATTGGGATTTTACACTTTGCTAAGCTTACATAGCGCTAAATGCTCTTTAGGCACACAAATCTTAATTTTCATGAACAACAATCAGATCAAATCACAGACATGAAATGTGGATGGGTAAAGAAAAGAAGCTTCAATATCAGTTTTAAAATATTTAGTATTTTTTTGGATGGAGGAATACATCACAACATACAATACTGGCTGACATTGACAACATCCACCCCCAATACACATACATGCATGTCTAGGTATAAACTTTAAAATTCAGGTAAGAAGTCTGTACCTATTTCAGACAGAAGGAGACTTTAAAGTAGAACTGTTTTGATGTAGTAGATAATGCAGGAAATCGCTTTGACAGTAGAGATTAATTTTATAATACTTTTGATTTGTATAGAATTATTTGTATAGTTTTCAAAACAATTTTATATCTATGATCTCACTTGATGCCCATAATAGCCATGTAAGTTTTTTCATAAACTTCATGTTGTTAATTAGGAAATAGATTTCAAGAACATCCCAAGGTTGGGGCAGCTAGGTGGTGCAGTGGATAAAGCACTAGCCCTGGATTCAGGAGGACCTGAGCTCAAATCCAACCTCAAACACATAACACTTACTAGCTGTGTGACCTTGGGCAAGTCACTTAATCCCACTGCCTCACCAAAAAAAAAAAAAAAAAGAACATCCCAAGGTCATAAAATCGTGGCAGAGGAATTAAAACCCAGATCTTACAATACTAACCAATACTAACCACAAATCTCTCTCTACCATATTACCCTTTAGAACAGAGGTACTTCTCCAGCTTAATAATATGTCATATTTATAGCTTATATAAACCTTAAGATTCACAAAGTGCTGATAATACAGGTACTATAACCCCTTTCATAAATGAAGTACTGAGCTTCAGAGCAGTTAAGTGATACATCTAAGGTCACACCACTGATTACTGTTGGGGCCAAGGCCAAGATATAATCCTGTGTTTTCCTAGCATGAACTGTGCTCCACTATGCCTCTTAAAAATGGACTGTGTTACAAAAGTTCATTTGTAAATACACTTTCAAATTTGGAACTCACTTTTCCACAGTAATCATGTTATAGCTAATATGGAAATTAAAGCCACAAAAGCTTATGTAACACATATAACATGGAGAGGGAAATGGCAAACCACTCCAGTCTTTGCCAAGAAAACCCCAAATGGGGTGAGGAAGAGTGGGACACAACTAAAATGATTAAACAACAACAATCATGAAACACAGATGAACCAATAACTAAATATCATTAACTACATGGTCCCTACAGGAACATATGTTTCCAGTTGCAAATTGTATCTCATAATGCTTATGAGTAGCACAAAGGGACTCTCCTCCCATCAACCCCTTCTCCAAATTCAGTTTCATTGGAGATGGAGAAAAGTTTTGCTGTGGAAGCATCTTGGGAAGGGAAGTGCCCTAAAATAGCTGCTAACCTTAATAATAGGTGTTTGCATGCAAAATATATTCACATGCAATAGGTATCTGAAAGCTAATTTCTAGAATCTCTGTAACTGACTACCCTGGGAAATACCTTTCCTACACAATGATAAGAGTAAATGTTTCCCAAAAGGCTAAGAACAGTCATATTGCAAACCAGACAGAACTAGACTTAGGGGATTTAACACTTTACTAAGTAGTTGCCTGGATTTGTCATTTAACCAGCTAAGTAAACCTGGCTCAGTCATCTTACATTTCTTATCTGTAAAACAAAATAATTGAACTAAATTATTTCTAAGTTTCCCAAACTCAATTTTGATTCTGTGAATTTAACATTCTAAGCAAATATGAATTGTAATAAAATTTTCACTTTAGTGGAAAAAAGGAATATAGAAATACAGGCAAAAGTCTTACAGAGTTATGGGTTATTGTGCAAACCATTATATGCTACAATGCTCCTGTGTTGGGAAAAGACATCTAACCTCCTAACTTCTCACAAAGCAGAAAATGCCTCAATTCCCAAATGATCATAATGGTAACATTTAAACCTTGGTTTAATGGGTAATGGTTCACTTAAGAGAATAGTAGAGACAATAGTAAGCAGAAGACTAAAAACCAAAGAGAATAAGACCTTTTTTCAGAACAATAATCTTGCTAGGGTCCACATGTTGAAGCACTCCCTGGAAGATGCCACAGACTAAAGTGATTTTCACCCTTCTTCCCAGAATCTGGTTTAAGAAATGGTAATCACTGCTGGGATCCATCTTGTTTGATACTAAAGAGAAGTCTTCAAGCCTTCAGCTTCCTTAAATTTCTAAGCAGTTGAAAATCAAAAAGAAAATGTGATGTTTTTTGCTATTGGTTTTTCCTTTTCTTATACCTGAAAGAGACAAAGAAAAGAATAAGAATTATAAATTTGCTACACTTTTTAAGTTCCTATTATATGGCCAAGCACTATGCTATGGGGCTCTCTCAGGAAGTATATAATAGTTCTTTGTAAGAAATATACTATCACAAACACCAACCCAAAGTCATACATTGGAAACCAAAGAACTATAGGAAAATTCTTCTGTTTCCTTAACTAAAACGTGAAGCAGACAGTACCTAAAGACAATTTATATGGGTAAAGAGTACTCCTTAAACAAAATAAAAGCAAATAGGAAAAAACCAACATTGGTAAATTGTTGTCCAATGTATTATTAGTTTGCTTACTCCATCTGACATTTAAATATTATAACTACAATGCATCAATCTAGGGAAATAAATGGGTATCTCTGAACCTAATATAGAGTCAGGACTGCTTGAAGAATGTTGAATGAATGCTAACACTGAATACAGAAAATTACATTCTACCCAGCATACAGCACAGTCTCCAAGTCCTATATGTAAAAATGTATCACAAGCACAAAGCAAAGCAAAAGATCATAATCTTCAAGCAAATTATTTTTCTATTCTTTTTTTCTAAGTTAAATAGGTAAGATTTACAAGTAACAGAAAGAAAAAAGAAACTGGGGAAAGCCGATTCTAATAAAAGAGAAGACAAAATGCAGTTTCCTCCTATTATTCCCTCACTTTATTTGGTCTGTTCAACAACTTTCCTTTAATATGGCTAAGGTAAAAATTAGGATAAGTAATAATAAAATCACAATAGGTTTTTGCAGTTATATATTTTATCACGTATAACATTCATATCGAATAAGGCTGTTATTAAGCTGGTGAATATAATTTAAACTCAACTTATCCTAGATGTACAAAAACATAGGATTAAGAATCAAACATATACTTAATATTTCAAGGATTTATGATTTAGCTGAGTACTCCCTCCACCAATGAAGACTACAAACTCCTCCACCTTAGTTGCCTCAGGTTGCTGTAACTGAAAAATGCATCACCCTGTTGCCAACTTTCTCTTTAAGATGATAATCATATAGTTTGGAGGCAAGGATACTCCAATTTTCCTAGCTTGGCAGGGCCTTCCAGAGCTTTTGCTCCAGTGGCAGAGAGCCTGGAAAATCTCCAGGTTCACCCCTATGTCAACAGTGGGATACAATGGTACAGGTCCCACGCAAAAAATTAAAAGCAGCAGCCCATTTTTTTTTTTTTTTACAACTATCAGGGTAAAAGGTAGCTATTTCTAAATATTTACAAAAACTTCTATCAGTTACCTTTTTGAAATGGCTTAAAGAATGAGCCGCTTAAAAGTTTTATATGTAAATGTATACTTCTAAAAACAAAGGGAAAACTCAAAATATGGATTATTAGGAAACAAATAATCCTATGATTTGATGGATTTGCTGGTAAAAAGTAAACAGAAACCTCAGGAAATATCAACAATGAAAAGCTAAGCTAAATATAAAGCTACAATCCACCTGGAAGGCCCTGGATCCTACCACATCATTTTATAGATGAAGAATGGGTAACTTATTAGCAATGAAGCAAGTTTAAAACAAAATGCCTTTCTTTTCCAAGGCTATCATGATTTTCCTAGCCCACCATAAAAATTTGCAATGCAAAAATTAGTTCCTTGGTTTCTTCAGGTGGCAAAAAGTTAGCTGAGAGTGTTCCATCACTTAAAAAAAAATGGTTAAGAAAGAGTAGACCACTCTGGGAAGTGAAAACTACTAGCAACAAAACAAGTGGCTTTCAAGGCCTACTTGGGAAAGCATTTCATTATTTCATCAGTGAAATAAAGAAAACTGGCTGTGCCCTGCTGATGCCTCAGAAACTCAAACCCTTTCCTGACTAAGGGAAAAAAGATTATTTCCACCAAAGAGCGCAGGAGGGGGGAGGGGTATTTGAAACCCAAGTCGGTGACTACTCGAGGCCCAGCTACGGGGCAATAAGGCAGTTAAGAGGAGCAGGAAGACGGGGCGCAGTGTGGGCCCCAAGTCCGTGATTCCTCGAAGCCACGAAGTCCTGGGGGCCCAAGCAGGGCCAAGCTCGGACTAAGACGCCGTTACCCGGGTGGTCGGAAAAGCCGGGCCGGACTAGCATGCAAAGGGGGGGCTTGAAGCGAAGAGCAGCACGCTGGGCCGAGCTCAGCCTCGCTGCGGCCCAAAGGTCAGGGTTCGACGCCAGTGCGCCGCACTCAGCCTTCGGCGCTCCGGGCGGACGCGGTCGGCTCCCGACTGCCCCGCCCCCGCTCTCAGGGGCCGGAGCGTGCTCGTTTCCCCAAGAGCCAATCAGCAGGAGCCAAAGAGCGCGCTCCCCCGGGGGCGGGGGAGAGAGCGAGGCAATACGTCACCCGAAACCAGAACCCAACTCCCGGCTTGCAGTTCTCCAGCAAACGGGACTAAAAAGTGTTTTCTTTTTTGTTGTTTTTTTTTTTTTTCCCCCCTATCGTCTCAGCAACCTGTATGCCGGCACCCGTAGTGAGCTTTTTTCAGACTGTAGAAAGGACCAGGCGTCGAGGACGCAAAAGAAAGGGGTTGCACTACCACCTCATTTTTGAGGTCACCCTGTCAGGCCACCGCAGTTTGGATTCCAGGTGGCTCTGCGCCTCAGACACTGTCCCTTTTAAGGCAAGCGACCTGGTTCCGGGGGGCGGAGCTTCTCCCGCCGAGGACTAGACCCGAGGAAGGCGCTGGGCGATCGCACACGGGGTCAGCGTCCGGCAGCACGGACGTCGGTTCCGTGCGCGGGGCTCACGGGCCGCTTTCGATTGGCTGACTCGCTCGGGCCGCCCTCCTCCTCGTGCCTGCCCACAGTCCTCCCTCGGGTCGGCCGAGAGTCTCTGCCTTTCCCTTCCTGACCCCTGTCCCTTCCTTCCCATTCCCTTCCACCTTCCCTGCTGCTGCTGCCGCCGCCTCTGCTTCTGCTTCGGGAGGAGCTCGTCCGTCTCGGCGATGGGTTCTCGGGCCTCCACGTTATTGCGGGACGAAGAGCTCGAGGAGATAAAAAAAGAGACCGGCTGTGAGTCGGGGCTGCGGGTGGGGACGGGCCGGGTAGGGCCGCGAGTGTGGGCAGGGAAGCCGCGCTCCTCCAGACCCCCGGGGACGCTTGCGGCCTCCCCGAGGCCAGGCTTCCGTAGGCCATGTAGGGATCCCGCCACCCCTTCCGCCCCAAGCCGCGGCACCTCTCCCCCCGCCCCCGGTGGTAGGGGAACCTCGTCCACCTCTTGGTCAGCCTGCCATCGCGCGACACGTCGCCGCTGTCCACTCCACGGCCGTGTTCGGGCTGGAGCAGGGTGGGCTCGAGCTCGGGCGCAGGGAACCGGGGTCCGGACCTGGGAGCGCGGGCGCCCCTCCGCTTTGTAAGCGAATCTCTTGTCCTGCTCGGTGCCCGGAAGAGGACGAGGTGTAATTCCCGAAATAAGGACGCCCATCTGTTTAGTCCTAGCCCTCCCGTTCTCCAGCCCCACTTTAAATCGAGCAGTGCCCCCGACTCGGTCAGGCAGCCTGGGTCTTCTTAGAGGAGACAGCCGGCTCCTGTGACGTTTCTGAGTAGGGAGCTTAACCACCGCCAGCTGGTGGAAATCAGAGATCATTGACAAGCGTGGAATGAATGACCACAAACCAGCGATTAAAGCTAGGGAATCCGAGCTCTGAGGAGCGACCCACGACCAGAAACCTGGCTAGTGTGATGAGTCTAAGGATCCCCCCCAGGTAACAACCCACCACCCCACCCCAAAGATCACCTTTGTAAAAGGAATGCTTAGTTAAATCGTCCATTTGAGTGTAACAATGAGTTATGCAAACTTGTTAGCACCTTGTTGCTTGCTGCTTTAATTCCAGATATATTGACTTCTACAGCGATGGTGTGCCTTATGCTATGGCCTTTCGAAATTGAATGTGTTCTAGAAAACTCAGTGAGACTTTGTACTAGGAGCCTTGTCATAACTCTGGATTATTACTACAGGTTTAACCACACTTTACACAGAAGGAAACTTGGCCTTAGAAAGTTTGCTATTCACCCATGACGACACAGCCTGGCTAGCTAGTAAAATGGAATTCAAAGCTTCTGATTCTAGATCCAGTGTTTATTCCCCTGAACGCTGGCTTGAGTTTTCTAAATAAAACCAATGTGTGGGCACAAGCATTGACCCTTCAGTGACATCTACCCCCAGTATTTATACTGACATCAGAAACAGTTCCTGAACTTTAATGACCTGTATGTAAAGCATAGAGGATATGGAATTGCTAGGATTGTAAATGTCTTGATAGTTCTCTTGGGTGAAAAAATACTGTCTTACACGTCCTGACCAGGACTTTGCACAGTTTTATAGACTCTTAGACTTGGAAAAGGCCTTAGAGGTTAAATAATCCTGTTTCCCACCCATTACAGGAATCTCCCCTTGTACCACATTCCTATTAGTCATCCAGCCTCTGTTTAAATAACTTCTGTGAGGTGAAACTTACCGACTCAGAACCGCATTGTCCTTGGATCTTGAGCAGGAAAGATTGTGAAGTTAAATGTTTTTGATTTATAGTACTCATTTAGATTCTTAACCCTACATTCTTTTTATGACTGGTTCTAACTCTAGGGATGGAGACATATGGAGTTCTTGAGTGCATCAAGTACTTTATTACATTTAGCGACTCTGGCCTCTGGCCACATTTGCAAACAGTTCCTGTCATCATGCCCTATTGTCAGCAGACACCAGGAAATAGGGATCTTCAAACCTACTCCTCACCCTACCCCACCCCCTGAAAAACATGTACAGAATGAGGAAATGTGAAAGGAATCAAGGAGTTGGAGAGAAGATCCTTCCTTTAAAGTGGAGAAGAAATAAAGTGTAGAACTGCCCTCCTTGTCTGATTAAATAAAGAATATGGGAATAGGTTAAACAATCTGTCCTAGTAACTAC